ATATTGTGATATATCTCGCCATTCATAATATAATCATTTTATATATTCTAATATATTGCCATGATCTCATGTACAGCTAAATAAGAGGGTCTTCCTGTATATAAAGACGGATTGAAATTTAAATATTAAAAATACCTACGATGGACAATTATCATTTTATCCATCTTTTATTATCCTTTACAGTCTCGTTTACTAATGTCATGTCACATGCATGATTTGATAATGAAATTAATTCACAATAAAATAACAAAAATTCCAATTAAATTATCTCCGATATTTGAACTGAAGAAATAGATTGAATGTATCCTCTGGTTTTTTTTTTACATATAGAAACTCTAAAATTAATAAATGATATTAAGTTTTTTAATAGAGCTCTTTTCAGATTTAAACGAAAACTAATAAATATTAATAATCAGTCAATGAGAGCATTAATACATCGCGGTAATTGGAGTGAGTGCAATTAATATAATATATTGTTGACAATTTCACATTAGATTAAATACAAATTGATTGATGTGAATGTTCAGTTTCTTTCAAATCATTTCCAGTAATGTTGAGTACAATTAATTTTCTTTCAATATATCGATACATAAAATTTCTTGGTCAGTTATTGGAATTGAATTTCTAAATCTGACAGAGAATGAGTTTCTCCCTACTGTACAGTTGAAAACTGTCATTTTGTCTCTTTGCTGCTTAATCAAGTGACTATTAAAGAGTACAATAATGTACAAATTTACTTAAATTGTGGTGAAATTATATAAGTTTATATTTTTCAATTCATCCTCTGCCTAGATCACAACCAGTAATTCCATATGCAACATGTCAGTGTAAAATCTTAATCTAACATGAAATATATAGAAATATCGGCTGAAATATCTTGATGAAAGTCAAACATGTGATGAATGTGAACTGTCAAATTTAATCCAGGAGCCATGTCAGTTCAAAGTAATACATAAATTATTAGACAAACTATTGTAATGTCAATTTTGCAAAACACAATTAAGGTGAATACTTAATGTCCCTATTTAAATTTCTCTGTAATGCTAATGAATAGTGCAGAAACTCCGTATCCGATTATACGTTTAAACTATTAATTTGTAATTGAATGTTTAATATTTCCGAAATGAATTTTTGCTCAAATCTTTCTCTATGTAATATCACAATATTTTCCCATTCAAATTCATGATTGTGTTCCAACGTATGTTGGGTGATGAGTCAACGATTAGTTGGAAGTTTTTTTATTTATGTGATTTTTGTGTTCATTAATTCTCTCGTTTTTAATAAATGTCCGTTTACCTCACAAATTGTATCACAGTTATTATATTGAATCTTGTACAACATTTTTGTTAGAATTTGAAGGAAGCTCATCTTTATAGGTTTTAATAATTCTTTTAAGAAGAAACAAAGATTATGTGAGAGAAAATGTGGATGTTAATCCTTAATTCACACATCAATCGGTTTGTATTTAATCTAACATGAAATTGTCAACAATGTATTATATTAAATACTCCAACTACCGTGATGTATTAATGCTCTTATTAATACCTGGTTATTAACATTTATTAATTTTCTAGAATTAATATTAACATAGGCAACAATCATTTCGAGAAACCTATTTTCGCAAAACTGGACAGAGGCGCAATACATATTCATCTAATCACAGGATACACAGCCATAAATTTTTTCCTCATATTGAACATCATGGAAATCAAGACGTTTATTTATTTATTTTGACGTGTAGTCATTATTTACATAAGTTACAACACAGATACTTATGATTGAAGTGTATCATCAAATGGATGTTTCCCAATATTTCACGTCTTTTTTACTTTTTTCTTATCAGATACGTGATCTTTTCAGAGAAGTATAATAAGAATCGGCTGTATTTTCAGAAAAACGTAACATGATTAGATAAAAGAAAAATTTCTCTTTGGATGATTTTCAATGAATTGTTTAAATTACCTTAAGTCTGTCAGGGAAGTTTTAATATGCCTCGTTCTCAAAATTATACAGCTTTAGAGATTTCGATGTACATTCTTCAAACTGTCGTTGTGGGTTTTATATTCCATAGTGGCGGTAGGTGGAAGATGTAATACTCTTCTCAAAGTATCTCTAATTCGTGCTGTTATCGTCACATCTGACGCTGTTTTATTCCATACACATATTATATCCTCCTATCAAATTAACCAATTTATTCAATAAAAAAAAGTTCTTATATTTTATGTAAACTGAAAATAGGTATAATCTCTCACTCACCTGAAATCTTATAGATACAACGGCACCACAGATTTCTTCTCCTACCATAAATTGTTCTCCTAATATTGCCAATATAAGATTTTCCCAACATCTAGAAACTAAACCTTTTCGTAATCTCACTATCCACTTGCCACCTTTTTGATTCGCTTCGTCCTAGAAAGAAGAAAACTGATACATAATATGTATGCAATAAACACAGTGAATGCAAAAAGAATTCTTGCAGAGATTTTTATAAAAAAAAAGCTTAATTTGTAGAAAATAAACTAGCAATTTATTAACAAATGAATATATTATTCTAATATAAACAAAAAAACTTAACGAAAATAACAGTATTCAGAATCTTAGAACTTTTTCTTCTTTAGAATGATCTAAATTTTTCAACTGTATAGATACTTTTTGTGCATCCACAATAATACACTTTTTCATTTTCATCATTCAAATAATATATTTTAATTATTATTTATTTTTAGGTAAAATAATTTTAAGATAGGTAATTTATTTTAAGGTTTGTTAATGAATTGCTAATTAATATTTATTTTTAAAAAATAAAGATTTTTAAGATATCTCATCTGTATGAATACTTTTTGCACTCACTATAAAAAGGAAAAGACAATGCTTACCTCCCACATGGGTTTTATACCAACTTTGAAAAGATGGAAGTCTGTGTGTGTCGTAAGATCTGATGGTCGTACTAAATGACTGTAAAGACCCCAGAACTGCTCTACGCTTGCAAATCTGCCGACCAATTTTAAATTTTGGTCATAACTCTGTATATTAGTCTTGCCAGGACTACGCCGGCTGTACCACAGTGCATAAGCATATTGTAATTTATGCTCATTTGGACTTATCTCTATTGAAGGCTGTTAATAAAATATTGATCTTCAGATTTTTATTAATGCTAATGTACTTCCACCATTAACAAGATCTCTGTTCTACTCACTAATGGACTCTTTTCTGCCTTTTGATTATCCTTTGATTGAGACTCTTCATCTCCGCTGTCTTCTGTGCCTTTCAACCTGTAAGTGCTGTCATAATTTGTAAGTCAAACATAACAGAAATCAAATACCTCAAGCATTTGTTACATATTAATCTTCCAAAACTGATGTCAAAATCTGTAGCGCAGTTATTGATGTTGGGTCTGTGAAAACCTATATTAAATTATACTTAATTAATTAATGCCTTTTAGCTAGCATAAATTTAATTCCATGTGTTTAAACAATAAAGTCAGATGGATTTGCAATTTTTAATTTTGTGAATTTTATTATTTAACTGGTATCTATATATATTTATTGCAAGCTCTTAAATTTTTGTAAGTTAAAGTAGAATACTGATTTTTAATTAATATAATGTGTTTTATATAGATGACAAACTTAATGATAAATGATTATCGGAATATGATGAGAAAAATGAGTGATAAAAAGCAAAGACAGAGCGAAAATCCTAGGTAAGAAAGAAACAATATATTAGACAATGATATAGAACCTATTAGCTACAGAAGAGATGGCTTTAATTCTAGTATTATTAACTCTTGATGTAATTTATAATTTTATGTTATTTTAATGTAGCTAATGAAGAATGAGAAAATGAATGAAGTCAAAACTTACTACTTATTACAGATAACTATTTATTATCATTTTCAAATTTATTAGTATTAATATACTAACATCTTTTATAAGCATGAGTATTGACTTTTGTTTAATAGATCTTAATTTTTTTAATTTATTCAATTAATTTATAAATGTAACAAAGAATATATTAAGTGTCTTCAATAGGCCTACTATCAGCTCTGGAGGATTAATAAGGATGACTTCAATAAATGTTGATTAACTTTAAGATATTTTTTCAAAAAAATGTTATAAAATGATGCAACAAATATAAGACCTATTCTTTTTAATTAAATTTCTTGCATAATTTATCTTTTTTGCATACAATTATTCTTTTTCTTTTCAATATTTATTATGGAAAAAAAAGAAACATAAACTGTGCAAAAAGTTTAGCTAAAAAGAACAGGTCTAGTTTCATTCTAACTTATTGCACTATTCAGAACATTTTTCGAAAAAAAATCTTTAATTGGCAGAAATACTCTATTTCTATATAAATCACCGTTCCTGATCTAATCTTTCTTTCCTATTATCAAACAATAAGAGAAATCAATAATATTTACGTTAACAAAATAGGCATCACACAACAAGATAATTGTTTGTTAAGATAAAACGAATCATTGGCTCATAAGAGAAACCATAAATTCTAATCAATATTGGTTATCCCGTCCTTTTCATCGTCGAGAGTTGAAATTGAAATTTCAGATCAGAATGCAACAGATAGGAACATTTATCCGGACCGTACGATGTTCTATTATATGCAGTACAGGTCCAATTAGATTCTAATTAGATTCGGTTTAATTTTTATCTTTTTTAATTCTTAAAACTAGAAGAAAATAAAAAGTAAATTAAACCGAGACTAAAGTTAAAGGTATTAGAAAAGAGCAGCACTCGACGCGCGTCTAACCTCGAAAAAAAAAACCCGTCCGCGATAAAAGCACTTACGTTTCGAACTTATTGGACATGCTTGCGACTACCGGGACAAAAATGCGTGCTCCAAAGGAATATTAAATCGTGTACGAGTATAACAAAGCTCCGTAAAACTTTTTGTCTGTTCACTGGCACATCAACTTTCACACCTGTAGTGTTTTCAGTAAACTGTTGATCGTTTAGCACCGGCAGCACCATGGTAGAATTAATACGAGGCCTGTTCTTTTTAGCTAAAGTTCTTGCATGGTTCATCTTTCTTTTTCTCTCGCCGTTAAAGAGAAAAAGAGAATAGATGAACTTTGCAAGAACTTTAAAAAGAACAGACCTAAGGTAAAACCTTAGGTTTTAGATCATCCAATCAGCATTTTAGATCGGGAAGAATACATCAATGGCTGCGAGCGCTTACTCAACTGTAGAGTCTGTTGAACGCAGCCATTGGCTAAATATATAAACCAATCATATTGATAAATTTTAGATAAGTCTTCAGAATAGCTACCTCACCTCCGATTTCGATGAAATTAGGCTCGTTCGATGCGTTTTTGCATAAAATGAAAGAATCTGGCAAAAAAAATTCGGGATTACCTTACAAAGCGAGATATTGAACGTAAAGCGGGGAGCACAAACTCTTGCATAACACATAACATGTAATACATAAGAAAATATACCAATCAACGTCCTTTGTTTCTTCCCATTCTATGAAATAAAGAACTCAGATTGGTTAAATTTCTTATGCATAATATATGAGGCATAAAAAAATGAATCAATAAAAGTCCTTTATTTTTTTCTTTTCCGTGAAATAAAGGATTCTGATTGGTTGATTTTCTTATGCTTCACATGTCTCATGACGAGAGTCTGTGCTTCCCGCTTAATAGTTGGCAACTATTGAGGTTAGAAAATCTGTCATGTGAAGTGTATAGACAATAGTGCTTATTAGTTCGAGACGGCTAAGCCTGTTTGGAGGCCTAAATGCCTAGAAGTCGCAGCCTAGACAGTAAAAAGACTGTTCTCACACCCCATGCACTATCTTCATGGGTTAGAAATACTATACACAGCCATCGACACATAGCCACCGAATATTCCCCTGTTACAGTCAAACGACAGGAGAATGCTCGACTGTAATTGATTGGTTCTTACATTCTGATCCGGATTAAACCCTCGGTGGAAACTAAGCCAATGTCACGTTTCCACTATGATGAAAAATATCCAATCAAATGAGAGAGTAAATCACTTTTATCATTGGCTGCTTGCAGTGGACTCAACAGTTGAGTGAGCGCTCGCTGTTATTAGTGTATTCTTTTCATCCAATCAGCATTTTAGATCTAGAAGAATATATAATAGCAGCAAGTGCTCAATTGTTGAGTTCGCTGAACGCAGCCATTTAGAGTTTCGAGATACACAATCGATCCTCTGGTCATATTGTCTCCGCATACTTCATGAAGGCAAGAGCCATTAACTAAGAAGGAATTATGAGTGCACATACTGGCTGCGATCGATTTAGATGCTTTCAGCGCTTTCAGTAGTTCTATTCTTATTTTACGTCTAATAAACGATAAAGACAGAATGATGATTACAAGCGTTTAAAGCGCGTGAGCGTCCAAATCGACCACAGCCACCATATTATCCCTTTCACCATGGCGTATTCGTTGGCATCAGTTGGCATCGCTGGATAGATATCCAAGAACCTTTAAAAATATACCTTTAATCTGTTAACAGTTAAATAGTTAATGCATTAGCCATTTTTTGATCGAACTTCTCAACGGATCTCTTTGAGCAGCGAGTCTGGAATAATCCGGATTTTCTTTCAGGCACTCTCAGTTCAGAGAGAATTGAATGTGATTGAATCACATGTTGGGATAATTGATGACGCCGAGTACATTCCACAAATTTGATTGAATCGTGGACAGTTCAATTAATCTTAAGTATTCTGGAGGTAAGCTCACTATGCAATTCTCACTAGCCTTTAACCTTTCTATCCAACTTTTTCAAGATTTCCACGGATGTGCGCGTGTAATCGATAGTTATTATCGTTTCTTGCTTCCTCCCATTGTCACGTTTTCACGTTTGAAATGATTCGTACGAAGGAGAATGACACACCATTCTCGACGTATGAAATGAAATCGCGGAGTCATTCCAGATAGGATCATCTGTGAATTAATTAAATATCCAATAATGATATTTAATACACATTATTTAATAGAACATGCATCTATTATTTCATCGTCAAAGTTGAATATTATGCCATTACATTTAGATAATTTATATAAAACAGTCTTTTTAATGCATATTAATTCAGTATAATATAAATTTAATTATAATGAATTCTGTTGGATGCATTGGTTATATTAAAATCATTGACTACGTTTACATCCAACGACTTGATAGCGATCCAACTTATATCAGAATCCAAACTAGGTCTATTTACCAATCATTTACATCGAAACAGATTTAAAAATTGACAGAATCATATTTAGATCATGCTGATATAGGTTGCAGGCTAAGCACACGATGTAAACGTAGCCATTGTACATTGATTTAATCTAAATATAAAAGTAAAATGCAAACATTACGAATTATGTAGGTTTTATTTAACTGCACAATAAAATATGAAATTAAAAACCTCATGATTTTATATTTATATGAAATACTTGATTTTATATTTATATTAAATACACATTATTACATCAATTTGTGTATGATGTCTTTAATATGCACTACATTCAATCAAATTTGTTATCAAATACACTATATGATACATTGTATAAGATTCATTACATAATTACATAATTAACTACCATATTATTTATATGTACACATTTGAGTTATATTTAAAATTCACAAGTATCTCTCACTTGTGAATAACTTTTATTAATGACTATTTCTATTAATTTTAATCTTGATTTAATTTACTTTTTACTTTTTTTTATAGTTCTAAAAATTAGGAAGATAACAATAAAATTATAAAACAATTAATAACAAGTAAATTAAATCGAGATTAAAGTTAATCTATATTGGTAAAAATGAATATCAGAGTGATTTTAATAAGCATTTAAAGTAAGCTCCACTAATGTAAGACAATTTTAATTTTGATTAAATTTACTCTTTACCTTCTTCTAATTCTAAGAATTTGAAAAAGATATAATAAATTAAACTGAGATTAAAGTTAATCTTTTATTGGTGGAATGGGAATTAAGGCTAATCTTAAAGAAGAATTAAAAATTATATTTAAAAGAATTAAAAATTATTATTAAGATATTTGAAAAACAATAAAGTAAAATAGTACATTAGATTTATTAAACTCAATGTCAAAAAATTAAAGTGTTAATAACGAGAAAATGAGTAGGCATAAAAGGCAGATATTTACAGCGAAAAGTAAGATGTGTGAGGCTGATTGCTATATGTATGAAAAAAGATGTTCAGAATGTGAAATGGAAATAGCAGTGACATGAAATGAAAGTAACAAAAATAAAAGAAAAGTCAAACATCAAATAATTATTTGCTCATATTTGAGCTTTCTTTTATTTGTATTGCTTTGCGATTATCGAGCTTGATATTAATATTTCTTTGGAATGAAAGTGCTTTGTAATAAAAAAAGAGCGAAAGTCTGAGAGTGCAAAATACATGTACCAAGATGTAATCATGACATGTCACAGGATCTTGTATTATATAATTTATTATATCTTATATATATATTTATTAGAGATCTTTTTATCACATGAATCTAAATAACACGTGTACACATATATCACATGCATACACATTTAAAACCATAATCTTTAATATTTACACAATTTTGTAATGTAATTTGATGCTTATTGCTCATTTCTCTTGACATACTTACAGATAATTCAGAGACCCTTACACCATGGTTAACGTTAATACAAGAGTATTCTTTGACGTTGAGGTCGGTGGACTGCCTATGGGCAGAATAGTCTTTGAGCTATTTTCAGACACTTGTCCCATAACATGCGAGAATTTTCGAGCGTTATGTACTGGAGAAAAAGGACTTGGGAATACGACAAACAAACCGTTGCATTACAAAGGCATCGTTTTTCATCGGGTCGTAAAAGATTTTATGATTCAAGGAGGAGATTTCTCGATAGGCAATGGAACAGGTGGCGAGTCGATTTATGGTGGTACATTTGGAGGTAAATATATAAGATTTTAGTTACAAAATCTTCATTTAGTATATTAATTTAAAGAGAAAAAATGGAAATCTGCCTTCTTAATAATCATTGATTCTTTTTACAGATGAAAACTTTATTATGAAACATAACAAGCCTTTCTTGTTATCAATGGCGAATCGTGGTAGAGATACCAATGGTTCACAATTTTTCATGTAAGTACATTAAGATAATATGTAAAGTTATTCTCTATAAAATTAGTGATACATGTATGCATGTATAAATTTTACAATCTGTAAGTTTAATAATATATATATTACAAAGGTAAATTGAAACTAAGGTAAATATTATACACATTATGTTGTTATATATATGGCAAAATCTTACAAGTATTTTTAGCAAGCAAGATATTACAACATGATTATTATATGTTTTCCTTGTATTAATAGATTTCTTTTTAGAGAATAATTTTCTGAATTTGCCTTCTCTCTATTAATAATTGGGCGTTTTATGTAAATCATGGTAAATAAAGTTAATAACATTTATATTTAGTCACATTTTCCAAAAATTTTTTTACTAAGTACATATAAATGTGGGAAATTCAAGCAATATGAGGCCAATTTCCAATTATATCATATGTTCCAAATATACATGATCAACAAATTTAATTTCATGGTAAAAGCAAGTTTTAATTTTACACGAATGTACAATATTACTCCCATAATATTTACGGCGGCGAACTCACGGCAAATGTTGAAAAAAACATAGGAATAAGAATCATTCTGGAGGAATGAATAACTTAGCGATGTTTTTGCGTAGTCGTGAGGGGGTCTGCACATCACTACTACAACACAATGACCAATGAAAGCTCTGGCTCTTTCTGTTCATCTCTCATCCCCTTAATCATATTTTGTTGTTGTAGTACAACACAACCAGCGCCTCACCTCGACAAGTGAGTATACATATTGATTCTGAGATATTCTGTTTTAACTGAATATTAAACTAATGTTTTAACTTGTTAAAAATAATCCAAGCTGCTTTGTTTACAAGCTTGTTTGTCTATATGAAAATGTTTTTATTTTCAGTGTCCATGTGGTTTTTGGAGAAGTAGTGTCTGGGCAAGAGATCATTACGCATATTGAAGGACTTCCAGTAGACCGAATGTCACGTCCATTACAAGATGCTAAGGTTGTGAACTGTGGCGAATTAGTTTTGAAGATCAAAAGTAAAGGTATAATCGTTTTCCATTTTTTCAAATACAAATATAGAGAGTCAAATATATTATATCTATGTCATAACATGTGTACATTTGCAGCAAAAAAACGAGAAGCGAAGCAAAGTAGTTCGGCGGATTCAGAGTCTGATTCTTATGCTGATAAAGCGAAGAAGAAAAAGAAGAGCAAGAAAAGGTATGTAAACTGTACGTCCGGATGTTCAATATTGCAATAATCACATTACCTTGTTTCAGTAAAAAGAGAGCAAAGTCAGAAGAAGGTGAGATTCGGGATTCTGAGGAAGACGATGGGAAACCTCATCCATTAGTATCCGTAACCAAAATTGATCCCGACGAAATTCCAGAAGTACCAGCAAATAAATTTTTATATAGGGCAGGGTCTACCAATAATGCAAATCAGAAAGAATTTAGACAGCATTATGGAAGAGATCGTGTACGATCTCATAGAAAGACTGGTCGTATTTTCAAGGGTAGAGGAATATTCGTAAGTGATAATATAAATTGTTATTGAGGCTCCTGAGTAGTCATCACAGCCATATTGAATCATGACGTCAGTAGCGAGAAATGTCACGTTAATTTTTGTTACGTGCCATTTGTAAATAAAGAATTTGAATAAAACAAAATGAGATAAGATTGCTTTAAAATATTTGTAAAAATGAACAAAAACTATACTTATTCTTCTTTGACGATCATTTTTATGATAAATAATCATAAAAAATGATAAAAGATATATATAAGCGAAAATAGACTACGCATGCATATTGAATAAAAGCACTTCACTTTCATTTTATCCAATAATTATTTACTTGTTAAAGGGCATAAGAATAGCTTCGTCCATTTTTACAATTGTTTTAAAACGATCTCATCATTTCATTTTATCCAAATTGTCTTTATTTACAAAAAGCACGGAATCAAAATTAACGCGCCAGCATCATTTCTCACTTCTGACGTCACGATTCAATATGGCTATGGTAACAACTCAAGAATCTTTAGAAACTACGGTTGTCCAATTCATAAATTGCATATAAACGAATAGATAAGAATACAGCGTCAGATTAATTTAACTGATTTGTCTTTTGCTCTTGTCTATTTGCTATTAACTTTAACTAACGTTGTGGACATTTATATAAATTTCCAGCGATATCATACTCCTTCTCGAAGTCGTTCTAGAAGTATGACACCACCTCATTGGAAGCAAGCTCAAAATCGTACTATCAAATTGCATGAATTTCAGGTACATGTTAGTATTTATATGCTCACTTACTACAACAAAATAAGTTTGCTAAAAAAAAAATTCAAAAAAAATTCAATATTTTTTGACTCATTAAAATTTTATAATATTCATTTTGAAATGCAATTTTGGTATAATAATTGATTATAGAGGCATATGAAAATAGGCTACGCATGTGCATTGAATTTCATTTGCCTTTTATCACTTTTTATAATTATTTACTGTGAAGAGAAACACTGTCATAAGAATAGCTTTCGTCCATTTTTATAATTGTTTTAAAGTGGACTAAGAGTATTCTCTTGTTTAAAGTATGTTCTTTTTTTCTTTATATGTATTTCCGTTCTTTTTCTATAAGCAAAGGATCATTTTTTAGTTATGTAGCAAATGAGCGATATGTCAAAAATGTGTAATTGTTTTATGCATTGTTTCATATTGTAGAAAATAGAAAAAGAGCGTCTCAAAAAAGAAGAAGAGTTTAAACAACGTGAAATTGACAGAATTAAAAGATTCGTAGAGAATCCCGATGAAAATGATCAATTGCCAGATCTCGATAACAATATATGCACAACGAAATTAACAGAGAATAAAGAGAACGATCAAGTAGACGAACCAGCGGTTACGACTAAAATCGCACAAGATAATAACGTAAAGAGAAACACGGAAGGAAATGATATTATGCAGAACAAGGAGGAGATTAAACATAGCAAATATGAGAAGTCATTTAAACGTGATGCTAACCGTTCTTACAATGATAGAAATTCTCGGCGTGATTCTAAAGATACTAACAGAAGACGCGAACGCTCTCGATCAAGAGATCGTCGAAGATCCAGAGAGAGAGATTATGGTCGTAGAACAAGTCGTGATAGAAGAAATCGGAGAAATTATTCTCCTCGAAGACGAGATTCTTACAGAACCAACAGACCTGGAAGAGATAACAGGCACTATGATAAGCGCAATGATCGACGTCGGAATAATTCGAATTCCCATCAGGACAATGATATCAACTCTCGTTACAATAAAAATAAATATAAGAAGAACGATAATGTATCAGACACGAACCAGGCGAAATTTAAACGCCGTTCACAGTCAAACAGCTCCAGTAGTCGACACTCCAAAGATTAATCCGCGTCGTTTTCACGTTCTTTTTTCGCTTATTGACACCAATGAAATACTATTAAAGTAAAATTTGTGACTTATTTAAAAAATAAATATTTGAACGATTAGTTTATAATGCAGTATTTATTATCAGATATTTCATAGATAAGCATATACAATAATATATATGTTTCTGCGATCTACACAATAGAGTTTTTTAATCGCCGCACTGATGAACAGCACTAGAACTTTTTTTTCTCTCACCAAACATCAAATATAAGTCTATTATTTTAAGTACGAGTGATACTAATTCTTCTTTTTCTTCTTGTCCGCTTGCTCGAGTTTTTGACCCAAGAAGACACTAGTTCAGCTATAAAAAATAGATTTAATAAAACTGTAATCAGATTAGAGAATGGCAGCGAATTCGGCACTGACTCTGCTTTGGTGCTGTCCTGACATGATGTAAGTGTAAAACCACTTCGGTGCTATGCCAAACTGCACTGTCGGAAACGTCAGTGCAACACTTCTTGAACTCGTTCATTTATTTGGTTAGCCCGAATATAAATTCAGCTATACTAAGTCAGTTTTCATTTGCTGAATATGACAAAATGGACTGATACAGTTCATAAGCCGAATGTGTGGCATTGAAAAAGTTCGCACTGAGTGTGCACTAGTGCAATCTGCTGAATGATTCGCTGTGAGATTGAAGATTGGATTGTAATTTAATCAATCAGCAAAGTTCATTAAATTTGAGATTGGTTTTCTTTTTTCCGAGTGATTAAATTCCAATCCAATCTCAAATCTCTCTTTATCATGTATTGCTATGAAACTGAACTTTTTTCCCATTATTCATATGGATATATTATAATTGTGGGGATGTAATTTTTAATTAAAAATAATTCCCATCAATTACAATTAACTGTTATAATTATATTTGAATACTAAAGCATAAAATAATTAATACTGCATTATCTAATCGTCCAAATATTGAAAATCATGCAAATATCTTTTAGATAATCAATTTGGGATATCTCGCTAATGCTACTGAGCATTCTAATACTATCGATGTACAATCACCAACATATTTGCGAAATGCGAATTAATAATACCATAATAATATTGGAGCAATATATCTCGTTTTTCTTTCGATTACATATTTGTGATTGATGCACATGCTTTATCATTGGAATGTACAATAAGGTTTATCTACAACATTTACATACTTTTATGAGAATGTCTATTTTTCACATCTTCTTTTCTATGTTGGATATATATGTATATTGTATTGGTAAATATTTTTTAAAAATATTTCTGTATGAAGTCTCCAAAACTTTTCAATATCAATTCTTTTTAGAATTCACATAGTTGTTCTGTTAAAATGCATGTATGCATTTATATATAGGGTGTACAAAACAGAGTGTACAAAAAGTCTCGGGCCCTTTAAATATCTTGAGAAGAGTAAACATTTTTGAAAAATGTTTCAGACAAAAGTTGTAGGGTTTAAAAAGATTCATTCACTAATCACACATGTTTGACTTTGGATGGCGTTGCCAAGGTTAGATCATCAAATCGATTTTTTTTTAATGGGACACTATTTTTTATAAGAATCTAATAGCTTTTCAGTTTTTATTGTTCAGAACATATGGATAACATTCAAGAGATTTTAGCTTGGTTGGATATGTTGAGTAATGGTAATATCGGCGGTACTCTAACTTTCAAGTTTTATAATTTGAAAAATACTTGATAAAAAATAATTATTATAGTGTTTTGGAAAGCTCTTGACATCAGCTATTAAATTCTGACATCAAAAATAGGATGTTCCTTAGTTTAAAAAATTGATTTGACCTTGACCTGACCTTAGCGACACCATTCAAAGTCAAACGGATGTCTTCTTCTTAATTAATGACATCTGCCTCTAGGAACAAGCGTTTAAAGCTCATTACAACCAGATCGCGTTTCAAAATAGAATACATAAAAGCGAGTTTGAATACTAATGACTCTGACACATCAGCGCGAGCGATTAATATCGCGCTGGTGTGCCAAAGTCATTAGACTGCGGTCGATTTGAACGCTCACACGCTTTAGCCCATCTACAATAAATTTTTAAGCTTTAAGCTATAAGAAATGGATGAATCACAATCGATTATTCTTTTCGCATTCTGCTGTAATTGGTCAGTTTCTTATGGTTTAAAACTTAAAACATCTAGTAGATTCGGATTTAAGCGCTTGTAATCATCATTCTATCTTTATCGTATTAGATGTAAAATAAAAATAGAAGTACTGAAAAGCGCTGAAAGCGTCCAAATCAACCGCAACCTTGGTCAAAGAAATGTGATCAGTAAATAGATCTTTTTAAACCTTACAACTTTTGTCTGAAATTTTTCTCAAAAATGCTTATTTTTCAAGATATTTAATGGGTTTATTGAATTTTTGTACACCCTGTGTGTATATGTGTGTGTATATATGTATGCACACACACACACACACACATTATATGTATAAATACACATATATATGTATAAATTTGTAATAAATAAATTACTTATTATACGTGGTTTTCGTATAATAAAAAACTAATTTTTGTTAAATAGATTTAACAATAATATCCATTATTCCTATATCAGTAAATTTAAGTACTTGTTTTAATTAATATTGTTTCGAATATATACTGTGCATTATTTATCGAATATAATCATTTTAAAAATATTAGCGATATTGCTACAAAAACATTCATAAATTTGTAACATCTTTTTGATTAATGCTCGTTGAAATTTAGAAAAAATAGATTTGATGCTTTGTTTATTACTACCAAGTATATATACATCGTAACAATGCTATTTTTTCAATTTGCATCTTATATCCGAATAATTTTATGCAATTATACGCAATATTATATGATGATACGTATCACATCCATGTATCATATGGTACACATCATGTATTAAGTTATCATATCATATTAATATTAATAATATAATTTATCTTTATCAGACATGTATCTCTGTTTGTACGTATGTAAAGCCATTTAAAGTTGTATTGTCGCTGATTGACGCATTAAAACTTTTTTCTAGGCTATCTAGAGGTGGAAATAATTTCTATAGGTTCACTTTATTTTACAAAATATATTTATAAATTGATAATAAGCCCTCTACAAAACTGATAAAGCGACGCTTAAAGCTTAACAAATTTCAACGATCAATCTGTATTGAATAAAGAATTCGATGCCGATGAAACGTGTAATAATTGTAAACGTAAACTCCCTTGGATTACACGTAACATCATCATCCAATGTTAATTGCAGATTTTTGTAGAATTTATATATAAAAATGCGTGATATACGATTATACTTTAAATCGCAGTATATACCAGTACTCCTTGCCTATGTAGTTCACCATGGGTTTTGTCCATGTGGTGGCTGAGTACCGCCATAACGTGGTAACGTAGCGTAACCTCCATACGGAGCTTGAGGCATACTCTGGTACGGATTATATCCAGCTAAAAATCGATAAATCTCACATGCATTTTTCGATATATCACATATATACACACACAGCGTCATTAATGGTATCTGAATTTGCAGGAGTATCGAGTATTCAAGACGTTCCTTTCTATTCATGCATTATGTCTAATGATTATTCGAAAATGTAACCTAAATTTAAAATTGAACTAAATTAAACTAAACTTAATAATTTATAAATAATTTAATAATTTATAAATAAAATCACTTTTAGACACAATTCTGGTGAAAATTTTTTTCAGAATTTTTCAAAATTTCTGTATGATTTTATAACTTTTTGGCATTTTTTATACAAATTGGAACTTTTCAGAAAGCTCTGGTCTACACCTTTTCTTAGAATTTTTCATATATAATGTTAATGAAATATTCTAAGATTTCTAAAATTTGTTCTATAAGTATAATTTCTGAATGTTATAAAATCTAAAAAAAAAGTTAAAAATATATTTTTTTAATTATGGAATGAGAAGTCTCAGAATATTTCATAATTCATATATATGAAAAATTCTAAGAGAAGATGTAAACTTTTCGAATATTTCTGAGTATTTTTGAAAAATGTTTCAATTTTCGTATAAAAGTTATGAGAAAAATTGTCAGAGAACATTTTGCGATTCTTTCTTACAAAAGAATAACATGAAAAATGTAACGTAATCTTAAAATTGAACTAAATTAAATTGAATATATACTAATCGTAAGCTTAATAATTTATTAAATATACAATTAAATCAATACAATTAAATACAATTAAATCAATCAAATCAATACAATTATATCAATCAGCGATTTTATTTATAAATTATTAAATTTAGTTTATGTTTAGTTTAATTTAGTTCAATTTAAGTTTATGTTACATTTTTCGAATAATCATTAGTCATAATGCATGAATATTTAGAAAGGAACGCGCGTTTGATACTCCTGCAAATTCAGATGCCTAGACATTAATAACGTCGTGTGTATGTATTTATAAATGATGGAACTGTAAGGTCCTTAAGAATACCTTGCGTAGGATATGGCATTGTAGCATATGGATTGTACGCCGTCGGCATTGGTGGAGGAACATATGTAGGATACGGTGTTCCTGGCGTAGCACCATAAGGTATAGGCATACCACCTTGATGTTGGATTGGATAAGGTAACTGCGGCGACGGTGCGGCAACTTCCGGTGTTGGGTTTATGCCGGGAGGACCTGTAGATAGATGGTTAAGATTTACTCGTGTTAAAGCTAATTAATAATAATAGATCCGTACCACTGCTGTGATGAGACGGAATGCTCGGTGTAGCAGCGGGACCGGTCTGACTTAGGTTCGTGGTTAAATCTTTCAAGAGTTCCTCTTTTTCGGTTTTCCGAGCAAAACAGAAGTCGGATATCTTATTTTGGAAAACTACAAGTAGCTATCGAAAGAGAGATATATTAGATGATGTAGCATTCAATGGTAAATAGAAAGTCATAGTAACAATAACAATAATGATAATAACAATAATAATAATATTAAATCTTACAGGATCGTTATGTGCAGAAAAACTTATAGAAATCAATGCTTTAAATTGTAGTTGGATTTTAAGTGTTTGTATAATTTGGCATGAATTTATATACTACGTATGTAATCCTTTAAAAATGCGCGCCGAAATGATGTTTCGGTCTTGAAAACTCTACTACCGCAAACTCTACTACCGCAGTAATATCACGAGTTAAATTCACACACACACACACACACACACACACACACACACATCTTAGATCATATTATTATAAACGTTTTAAGTACTTAAATACTATTTATAAATGTTTATTTCCATTCGTTATAATAAAATATAATTATCTGGAAACATATCTATATAATAATGTTGTATTTTCGAAAACATAAAAATGTAAACGTTAAAAAATAATGTATGTAAATTTTATTGATTATGAATTAAAAAATGAAAATTTTTTATTTATTATTTCCGTTAAATTTCATGATTATAGCAGTAGCAGTAGCAGTAGCAGTAGCAGTAGCAGTAGCAGTAGCAGTAGCAGTAGCAGTAGTAGTAGTAGTAGTAGTAGTAGTAGTAGTAGTAATAATAAGGTACCTGCGTTAAATCGTTGTAAAATTTAGCTCCTTCTACTAAATTATTTTTTAGTTCTTTAAACGCATCGTAAGCAGAAGCTAATTTACAGAGCATCGCTTCTCGCGAACTACCGCTGCCGACTTGTTCGTTCGTAAATTCTGCATGGCAACTCTAAAACCATCGCAAGAATATTATATATGCCCCCTTTTTCTCATCTTCAATCTTGATCAATTGTCCATAACGAAATTGTCAGATATACCTGAATTTCAGCAACTAATTTTTCCTGCTGTGCTATACTCTCTCGTACTTGCTTCTGTAAAGGCCCATAACACTTTCCCAAACTCTCGACGGATATATTTGGTTCGTCAATCGCGCCGTCTTTAGCAAGTGCCGAAAGAAATGTTGTTTTCATATCATTGGCAGCGAATTTAAATTCATTTTCGATAGTATCTCTTACAGTTTTTAATGTAGTTACCTAACAAAGGAAAAGAAAATACTCCACAAGCATTAGAATATAAAAAAATTAATGTGTATAAATACATTTATGACTTTTTTTCACTTACATCTTCCATTAATTTTCTAAGCTTAATTTGCGGAATAGCTCTTCCAAGTTCATCCTCATCCAAACTTAGAATTTCGATCCCTTCTTTATGGCTTTCATATTTCTCACGTACTACCTATATCATGTAAGGTCAAGGCAATGAATATGCGTAAGTACACGAAATCTTTTTTTTTCTTTGAATTTTTACCTTATCAGCAGTAACTGCATTATTTATAATTTCACGATATTTTTGTAAATTGTTAGTAAATTGTTCTGTCAATCGAGCACTGGGCGTTCGCTTCCAACGTTCCTTGAATTGTTCTCTTAATTGATTATCAGAGTCACGTTCTTCTTGCAGCATTCTTTCAGACTACAAAGTATGTAAAAGATAATATACAATATACTTTTAAGTAGCTTTAATAAAAAAAAAATGTATATTTTTACCTCGTCTAGAAGTTCTTTATTACGCTGCAATAAATCCGGCAATTCTTTCATAGATTCTTCCAAAGTTTTTATTCCGCCCAATTCTCGCACGCTAAGCGCTTTGTCCAAAAGCGATTCAGGTATTTCTGTTCCACTTGTATCTTCTATAGCAGCTGGTAAGTTCAAACTCGCTAAAACGCTGTATGTATATACGATAAAAATATTTAACGAGAAATTTATAACTCGAAGATAAAAATTGCGCTATACTTTAAGTATGTACCTATTTAAAAGTTGAGTCATTTCACGAAGATTCGAAATTTCATAATTAACTAACTCATTACGACGATTTTCATATGCTGACAATGCATGGCGTATATTAAGAGGCAACAGTTCAGCAAACAAATCTGTAAGCATGTGTCAGTATAGTTGACATTAC